TCTCGGTAGTGAAGGGTGGGGTATAAATCAAATCTCTTCTTCTTCTTCTTCTTCTTCTTCTTCTTCTTCTTCTTCTTCTTCTTCTTCTTCTTCGTGGGCAAACACAATATGTGCAGGCCGTGTCATGCTTGAGAAACAGGCTATAGCCAAGGCCTTTCTTTAGCTCCCAGAGCGCTATTTGAGTTCAAAGCATCATTTTTTTTCTTTGAATTAGAATGAGCCTCTAGAGCACACTTCCTAGTACGCTGAAATCTGGCAGGGCCTTTTATGTTTGGTGCAGTTTTCAGAGGTCAATGGGGCCACATAACTATAATTTGTCCTGGTGACTGTCATTGACCTGTCAGAAGTTCCTCTTCTTCTTCGTGGGCAAACACAATATGTGCAGGCCGTGTCATGCATGAGAAACAGGCTATAGCCAAGGCCTTTCTTTAGCTCCCAGAGTGCTATTTGAGTTCAAAGCATCATCTTTTCTTTGAATTAGAATGAGCCTCTAGACCACACTTCCTAGTACGCTGAAATCTTTTATGTTTGGTGCAGTTTTCAGAGGTGAATGGGGCCACATAACTATAATTTGTCCTGGTGACTGTCATTGACCTGTCAGAAGTTCCAGAAACAAAACCGTTCTCAAGAACGCTACCACAAATACCATGTCCCAAAGCCTTACTATACCTGCAAGCTTATTCCAGTCTCTTCTTTACTCTTCTCAGTCAAACCTGTAATTGTTAAGTTCTGACTTCCTTCCTCAAATGTTATGCGTTTAGCTACTTTGGAAGACCTACAAGAAGGGGATTAAAAATAAAAATAAAATAAGCAGATCGTAGGGGAGGGACCATGGCTAAACGATAGAGCATCGGTTTGGCATACAGAAGGTCCCAGGTTCAATCCCTGGCATCTCCAGTTAAAAGGGACAGGTACTAGGTGATGTGAAAGACCTCCACCTGAGACCCTGGAGAATCGCTGTCAGTCTGAGTAGACAATACCAACCTTGGTGGACCAATGGTTTGATTTAGTATGAGGCAGCCTCACGTGTTCATGTGTAATGAAAGGTGAAACACATACATTATTTGTATGCTTTCATAAAGACTGGTAGATATCTATCTAAGCGATGGACAAGTAATAAAGGTAAAGGTTCCCTTGCTCGAAAGCCAGCCGTTCTCAAGAACGCTACCACAAATACCATGTCCCAAAGCCTTACTATACCTGCAAGCTTATTCCAGTCTCTTCTTTACTCTTCTCAGTCAAACCTGTAATTGTTAAGTTCTGACTTCCTTCCTCAAATGTTATGCGTTTAGCTACTTTGGAAGACCTACAAGAAGGGGATTAAAAATAAAAATAAAATAAGCAGATCGTAGGGGAGGGACCATGGCTAAACGATAGAGCATCGGTTTGGCATACAGAAGGTCCCAGGTTCAATCCCTGGCATCTCCAGTTAAAAGGGACAGGTACTAGGTGATGTGAAAGACCTCCACCTGAGACCCTGGAGAATCGCTGTCAGTCTGAGTAGACAATACCAACCTTGGTGGACCAATGGTTTGATTTAGTATGAGGCAGCCTCACGTGTTCATGTGTAGTGAAAGGTGAAACACATACATTATTTGTATGCTTTCATAAAGACTGGTAGATATCTATCTAAGCGATGGACAAGTAATAAAGGTAAAGGTTCCCTTGCTCGAAAGCCAGTCGAATCTGACTCTAGGGTTGCGGTGCTCATCTCCGTTTCAAAGCCGAAGAGCCAGCGCTGTCCGAAGACGTTTCCGTGGTCATGTGGCCGGCATGACTAAACACCAAGGCGCACGGAACGCTGTTACCTTCCCACCGAAGTGGTACCTATTTATCTACTTGCAATTTCTTGCTTTCGAACTGCTAGGTTGGCAGGAGCTGGGGCCATAGACGGGAGCTCACTCCATCATGCGGCACCCTGGGTCTCAAACTGCTGAACTACTGACCTTCCACAGCCTGCAGTTCAGCGTCTTAACCACTTGAGCCACCGCAGCTCCTGGACAAGTAATTGTAATCTACAATTACCTGAAGGCCTGCTGCTCACTTTCCTAATGCAAACTGAATAACTAGATCAATGTTGAACACACACACGGAGCTGTCTTACACTGCGGCAGACCACTGGTCTGTCGAGATTTATTGATAGCGGAGCTCTCCAAGGTCTCAGACAGAGGTCTTTTGCACCACCTTCTCCCTGATCCTTTTAACAGTCAATGCTGGGGATTGCGCCTGGGACTTTCTCCAAGCAAAGCAGATCCCCTGCCACTGAGTCACAGCCCGTGCCCCAGTCTAAATGTTCTGGAGGAGGTAAGGCTCACTTCTTAAATGCATTTGTAATTATTTTAACCTATAGGATCTCAACAACTAAAGCAAAGATACAGTGCCCTTTCTGCTAATATAAGGCAGAATCTAGAGAACTCCTTATGTCAGCGGTTCTCAACCTGTGGGTCGCAACCCCTTTGGGGGTCAAACGACCCTTTCACAGGGGTCGTCTAAGACCATCGGAAAACACACATTTTCTTTTTTTATTATTATTAACATTTTATTGATAAGTAATTAGTAACAATACAGAAATTTCAACTGTGAAATTTTTGAACAATAGATAAAACAAGCTTTTCAAAGAATGTTTGCATATAATAGTACAATACAATTTGAACGGTAAGTAACATAGTGCAGTTCTACTTTCAACTTAAGGTTTGATTCATTATGCTTTGAACAAAAACAGGAACATATAACTGTACAGCGGTTCACATTTTGGTGTTATAGCTGACTATATATAAGTAAGTTTCAGTGCTATCCTTTGACACGACAGACCACAACCCTTAGTAATTTTGAGATTCATACAGGGTACATATGTATGGTGATATTTTAATATCCTGGTGTGAAATGGATCGAGGTAAAAATCAGTGAGATTGATAAAAACACACATTTTTGATGGTCTTATGATAGCAATGAAAATAACTTTATGGTTGGGGGTCACCACAACATGGGGAACTGTATTAAAGGGTTGCGGCATTAGGTTGAGGACCACTGCCTTATGTGAACAGAATGTATTTTGGCTGGGTTTTTTGGGGAGGTGTCTACAATTTCCACAAATTCCTCCCCTTAAGCTGCAGCTCTCTGCCCCCCCCCGCCCCCAGAAGCAACTGGGAGGAAGCAGGGGAGCTGCAGAGGGAAGGAAGAAATGGGAAAGTCTCGCCCCCACTCGGTTCTGGGCCACCCGCAGTTCTTGGGATCCAACCCACAGTTTCACTGGAGTCAGTTTTTGTGTTTTACTGAAAATAATGGGATGAAACTGCCATTTGCTTGACAAAAAGTTACGTTTTGTACGTGTATCATATTTTCAGCATTAGGAATACATCAGTGAACTACAAATGGTACTTTTTCCCCAAGGCAAGAGGTATGACATGAAGTCAAATTCATTCCACGTGCACAAATATTAACCAATATGTCAGATGGACAGGAACAGATTACGTTTAATAATGGTACCTTTTCTGTTGTTTGTCTAAGTTTATCTTGTCTGCGTAGATTTCTACACATAGCAAAGCTGTGAAGTGAGCCGCACAAGACTGGGCTGTCATGGCAACTTGAAGGTAGTTTAACTCCAGCCAGAAGCTGTCTTCAAAGACTGTACTGGAAGGACTCCTAAAAGTATAAAATACCACACATAGATATATCTGCCTCATCTTGCAAGATTGCTTTTAACAGAAAGAGGCCCGTATTATAGCTTAATTAACATAAGAACATAAGAAGAGCCCTGCTTGATCAGACCAATGGTCCATCTAGTCCAGCATCCTGTCTCACACAGCGGCCAACCAGTTCCTCTGGATGGCTGACACCACATAGGGGCTAAGGCCATCCCCTTATGTTTCCTCCTGGCTCTGGGATTCAGAGGATTAGTGCCTCTGAATGTGGAAGTTCCCCTCAGTCACCATGGCTTGTAGCCACTGATAGACTTATCCTGCGTGAATCTATCTAATCCCCTTTAAAAGCTGTTTATTCCTGTGGCCATCACTACATCCTCTGACATTTTAATCACTCCCTGTGTAAAGAAATATCTCCTTTTGTCCGTCCTGAACCTACTGCTCATCAGCTTCATTGGATGTCCTCGATTTCTAGTATTTTGGGAGAGGAAGAAAATGTTCCCTTTGTCAACTCTCTCCACCCCGTGCATAATTTTATAAACCTATATCATGTCCCTCCTTGGTCGTCTCTTTTCTAAACTGAAAAGTCCCAGACTCTTCAGCCTTCCCTCATAGGGAAGGTACTCCAACCCCTGAATCACCTCGGTTGCCCTTCTCTGGACTTTTTCCTTTTGCCAGTCATTATATAGTCAGATGTTTAACAGTTATTATTTTTAATTATTTATATTTGAAGAAAACAACTTGTTTGCAGACCAAGAGAAAAAGCCTAATTTGAAGTGAGAAAAAGGCTTGTTACTTTACATGTTATCAGAGATTGTAGAAGTTGCTTGCATTTAATCTATAGCACTATTTCAGGATAAACAGAAAGCAACTTTCATTGCATATTTTGAATTGTCTTTAAGTGCTTCCTTTCCCCCCCTATAACAACAGTTCTTGTTCAAATGGGCTACGTTGACCACTTTTGTATGATACAAGTGCAATAAGATAACATAAACAGCACCGTGAAAATTAAACACACCTCTTTTGCCGCCTTAAGTAGTCCACCACAGCAAGCATTGCCTGTCGAGATATTTTATCCAAACTTCCACAAACAAGGGTTTCTGAGTCTATGTTTTAAGAATCAGACTGATTACTGTTATATAATACTAATTCCTACAACTGTTTATCATGCGAAAAAACAACACCCCACATTTCACTTTGAAAGTTTAAGTGCTTTAGAATCCTTATTTCAATTCATCTGCGTAAAAATCACCTCAGGCATTTCACTGATACACACATTTTAAACTGATGGATATTTCTCCATATCCATTAAAATTATGTTTATGGAGCAGCAGAAATGTGAACCCAGTCAAAAATTGGACCATGTTGCCTATCATGATTGATTAAAGCTAAATATGAAGAGTACATCAGACACGTAGATACAATTTCAATTCATACTTCCTCTTTTGATAAAGTTAACATAAAAATATGGATATATGGCAATACAATTTACCAAAATTAATAGTGTATGCCAATTAAACTATTATTTGAAAGAAAAAACATACAGGACTCACACCTTAAAATTCTCACAACAACCTGTGCACTGCAATCTCTCTTCTTCTGCTTCAAAGCCCACCTTCCATGAAGCCTGTGCTTAAACCCCCTTAATTCTCATTATCAACTAAAACTAAAGTATACCTAACTGCATTTACTCATGTCCACTGCTTATTAACTTAGCCTCTCCCATTCTCCCTCCAATGTCAAAATTTTAAGCTGCAAAGCCAGAGAGGAAGGGAATCTGCAGTGATCCACATAAACCAACACTGGTGTATGAACAATTAATCATTTTAAAGGAAAATCAACAATAGTCCTGAAAGTTGCTAAAACCCATGTTTTAGCCCTCCCCACCATAGCAGGCTCATGTTACTGCTTTGATGTTTATTGCATGAATTATTTCACACAAATCATGTATTTTGGCAAAAAAGAGAATCTTTGTGGTATTACCTGGATCTGAATTTGCAGGTGTTGATGATCGGCTAGGAGTCATAGCATATTTGCAGCAGGTTGCAAAAAACATCTGGATATGCGTGGACAGTAGAGTTTGTCCAGATTCATTTGAATCATGAAGTAGGATATCATGAATCAAGTAGGGAAGAACAGTCTGACAAAAATCTGTTTGAACCTAGAATAAATGTAAAATAAACGGCTGAAAACTCACATTTGTTTTTAAAATATGACTCCTGTGGTCACTTTTACTCATAAAATACTCTATATATAAATGTATTACAAATATCTTCTGCTTACAAAGTTCACATACTAAGAAGTGGGATGAAAAATCGATGTAGAAACATAATTTAATAAGAATAAAATAAATGGTAAATATAAGACAGGCTGTAGAACACATGGCTGTAGAAGAAGAAATGTGCAGCTGCGTTACGTTACCTCACACAAAGGCTTCAGAAACTGAAGGACTTCGCTTTTTACCCCTCCACTGTCCAATAAAGCACAAGTCAAGGTCTTAATCCAAACATCATGGCTTCTACTCTGAGGAATCCACAGGCTTGTATTATTCAGATCTTCTAAAGGATTCTCTCTTACAGTCACAGAAACTGCCAATAACTATGTATCATTTTTATTTCCAAAAAAAGAGAAAGAAAAAGAAAAAGGAACCAGTAAAACTGTTTGACCAGTTATACACATCCCTCCCTCCACAACCATTATCAACCTAATTCTTTCCTTGCTGCATTCATAATGGTGGGGCACAAGCAAAATAATATTCGTTAAAACCTTTTGAAGATAATTCCAGGCTTCATTCAAATTGTTTGGCATCAACTGAGTCAACAAACTGAAACAAAGTACTTACAACAGTCATGATTTTTTAAATTGTCAGCTCATATAGGGCTACAGCATTACCTAATTCTGCTTTTAAAATGAGCTGGTTCACAGCTGGAAGCAAACTTCTGACCATGACAGCTTGGTACAACAAAATCTGTGATGTTATGGTAGCAGGTAAAATATTTTCCCAAATGAAAGGAAAGGAAATTCCTAATTATCAGTGTACATTTTATGAGAAAAGGTTTCCTGTCTCGTCACACTTCCAATTCAATATTATATCCGATAAATATAAGGAGAAACTAAATCTTATATTTACAACTTGAGAGATATTTCAGACTAGATAAATGATTCAGTCTGATTTTAGTTCATTATTTTTATAATCTATATTCATTGTTAGCTTAGTACCAATACTTACAAGTGTTTACTGTATACCTGTATTACATATGTTAAGTGCATGTTTACGTGTAATTTATCATTCAAATAAACTAATTTTTAAAAATGTGCTGGTTAAAAAGCATCAAATTTCTTCTTCCTCAGGAGGAGTACACTGTAGCATATTCTGTGACGCTTCACCTATGCCCCATATGTGTGGCAGTGAATATTCTTTTCTTCACAAACTGAAGATGTTTCCACCCAACCAGACATAACAGTCCTACAGGGTCGACTTGTCTTCCCAATCTCATTGCATTGCCTTCCTTATTCAATCTATGATGACTAGTGAAGACCTGCTAATAGTGAATGTGTATGGGCAGGGCACAAAGATTTGGGTTAGTCCTTCTTGTTCAGATTGTACAGGAAAAGGACTGCTAATATTGATAAGCATCCTGGAACCCAGCCACAAATTGGGCAGGCTCTCAGGCTCTAATGGGTCCTTCCCTACCGGATTCTTCCAAGACTCAAGAATCTGCCCTTGCTACAGAGCAGTGGGGCTGGCTACAGTCTCCCACTACGCATTCCCTGGTGAGTTTTCCTCAATGGGCAAAGGGAAAGAATGAATTAGGGTAGCAGACAATGACTCTATCAGGCTTCTCAGCTGAGCATATCAGGATTTCTGTTCCTTTAAATGACAGGGAAGGAAGGTAAAGGAGAAGATGCACTGAGAGGGCTTAATGTTTGAAGCGATTAGCAGATCCTGCCCTCAGAACCAGAACTGGGTAGTATTCCTCCTACCAGAAGGTTTTCTGTTGAAAATTTGGGGCTGGAATAGGAGGAGCTACCGTGATCAAAGGTTTCCTCCTTCACTGAGAGAAAAAGTGCAGGGTTTCTGCATCTAGCTTTACACAACACAAAACACAGTACCTTTTTCTTAGATACTCTGAAAGGATGCAGGTAGATAAGCATGGTATCTGCTTTGTTTTTATAAATCTCCAAAAACGTCTGACCAGTTTTGGTGGCTAAAATGTTTTTCAAACAAGCTGCAGCAGCTGACTGAACTTCAATGCTAAAAGAAGGACAAACTGTTTTAGAATCCAGATAGTATGATCATACACACTTATTTTAAACCAATCAATAATTATTATAGCCAATATTTAACAATATACTTACCAATGATCTATTAAAGCATTATTTATTAGAGATAACATTATGAAGGTACACTGAAGTTCTCTGTCTTCAAAAAGATTAACTGCACTGTAATAGGATGTGTTTTTATTGTGTTGCAGAGCTGTGGTAGAAAAATTTATAGGACCAATTTCTCCCAAGCAACTTCCAACTGCTTCTGCAAATGCAAATATTAATATTAAAAACACAGAAAGTACTATATATACAGCTTTTATATGTACGGCAGTGCCCTTGGAACATAACAGCAGCAAAGAAAAAAAACCTCATGGTATTCTATTGTTTGACTATATATTGCATTTTCAGCAAGGTTTTGATCATAGGATCTACTAATCATTCTGGATTTTGAACTTTTTGACAGCCCGCCCCCAGAGGGTTAGAGTAGGGTCCTATATGTCCACAGCCCTTACCCTTAATACCGGTTCTCCACAAGGCTGTGTGTTGAGTTCCTTGCTCCATACCCTCTACACACCCTCTACAGGATTGTACCCCCACCCACCCCAGTAACACCATCATCAAGTTTGCTGATGACACCACCGTGGTGGGGCTCATCTCTGGGAATGATGAGTCTGCTTATCGGGACGAGGTGGAACGGCTTTGTGTTTGGTGCAGGGAAAATAATTTGATCCTCAACACCACCAAGACCAAGGAATTGGTAGTGGACTATAGGAGGAACAAAACGGACATCCAGCGTTTACACTGGAGACACTGTTTTTAAATACCTGGCCACCAGATTTGCTGAAGAGACCACATAAAGCAACTATTGAGATAATGCTTGATGCTGCCAAGACCACAATTGCAACTTTTTGGAAAGATACCAAAGCTCCAACAACAGAAGCTTGGTTCCGGAAATTATGGAATCACTACCTAATGGATTCTGTTACAAGCAAACTAGACACTACTTCTCAGAATTCAAAGCAACAGAAGTTTGTTGGAAAGTGGTACCCAATTTTAGAATATTTATCTCAGCAACAATTTATCTCCTCTGAATGGTCCCAATTCCATAAATGGATTTAATACTTAGTTTTTAGATGAGCTGAAGTCACTTGAATCCACTTTTCTTTTACACAAATATGGAAGTATTATCCTTAATTCCTGAAGTATGTATTTTAAATATACAACGCATTGTTCTTGTTTTTTGTTTATATATTATCATTTATTATTATCAATTATTATTATTATTATTATTATTATTATTATTATTATTATTATTATTATTATTATTATTGTTATTATTATTATTATTATATTAGTGTGAGTGTCCCAGTTGTCCCCCAGCAGCAACATTTCTGGGAGCGCAGTAGGCTGCGGTGGAAAGGAAGAGGCAGGAAAGATCTGCTCCATCATCTGAGCTTCTCTGGCAGCACCTTGGATCCAAAACTTTAAGCATTATCTATACCAGAGGTAGTGAACTCATTTTCTATGAGGGCCGGATCTGACGTAAATGTCACTTTGTCGGACTGGGCTAAGTGTGCCATAAAACGTAATGCCAGGTATCGGAGATATAAACTGTATAAAGGACAGCAGCTGGTAAGCTCTGAGTTGGCGTATCCTCACTGCAAGGCCCCATGGGCTGGGAGGGGGCTGCAAAGGAAAACCGGTATGGGCGGACTGGAGAGCCAATGGTGCAGTACTGGGCAGACGCTCCCACACTGCTTGACTGCTGCAAACAAAGTTGTTCTGCCATGCTGAAGCCACAACCCCCCTCCGAGCCGTCTCCTGTGCCCTCCCTTGCACTAGTTACTCGCGGGCCACATAAGACCCCTGGACGGGCCGGTCCCGGCTCCCAGGCCTTATGTTTGACACCCCTGAAATATACTGATTGATTAACAGAATATTAACATTAAAATATGAGACAATGATTGCGTTATGGTTATGATCTTTTACAGATGAGTGACATTTCTTTGGCAATATAAGAAACCATGGAAACAGACTTTTCCTATTGCCGTTAAAGGCACTCACTTAAATGGCTACTTACCTAGAACAGTATCAGTTGAGTTTACAGCCGTTTTTGAAAGCTGTAACAAGTTTGCCATCAGCTTTATTATTATGCAGTCCTTTGGATTTTCTATCATTTGAAAAAGAAAATATTAGAATATTGTAAATCCTACTCAAGTCTACTCAGTGGGGGTTTACTCCCAGGAAAGGGTTCGTATGATATGCCTCACTTCCCCTAAATACTTCAAAACATAAAACACTTATCCCAATTTATTATTACATTTATCTCTAATCCTTTTAATGATGTAAGTCAGTGGTTTCTCAAAGAAGCTCTCCCATCAGGCACTGACCCGCTTTGTTCCATCATGGCGGCTGCATTATGTGGTCCCCAACCTCGGATACAGCTACTTAGTATAGAATTTATTTTCTTAGAAACAGCATTACTAACAGCAGTCTCAATACTAAGGCTACAATATACAGCGTGCACAGGTGATCTCAAATTCTTACCCTGAGATGCTTTCATAAGGTCCTTCATCTGATCTTTATGGCTTTCGAGTTTTTTGCGTAAATCATTTAAGCCTTCAAGTCTCGTTATTGGTAAGGCATCAGAGATATTGAAGGATAGGAAATGATTGATTTCCTGCAAGTATCAATCAATTTTATATGAAGGATACAGTTCATATAGTTCTAAAATTAGATGTAATTACAAAGAGATATGCATGTGCATTGAAAGCTTCTGTTTTGCTTGCCGTGCGACTGACTTTGAACAATTAAACGAAACACAGGTGAACCTCAACACACTGACAATGTAAT